GGGTGACCTGATCAAGATCTTTAAAATTATGATTTGATAGTCATTAGGTGAGAAATTATTCACACTAGTTGATGAGTCAGTGACTGAAGGCGTTATTTTAAAATAGTAAACAAGCAAATGGGGAGATGTTTTCAAACACAGATTGGTTCAGATGTGTTTTTCCGAGAGCAATGGTTGAGGCAGAATCCATATTAGCTTTATAATAATAATAATCCTTGCATTTCACGTCTTTCAGAAGGGATCTAGACAGATAGCTGAAAAGAGACAGCTACAAGGGTATAGGGGATTCCACTCTTGCCCCTCAGTCAGAAGATTGCGATTAAGACTTATCAAGACTTTGAGCTCAGTCTAGGCTGATGCTCCAGCAGAGTACTGGCGGACACTGCATTGTCAGAGGTTCCATCCTTTGAATTGAGACATTAAACTGAGGTCTGTTAGGTGAACGTGAAAATCCTGCGGTACTGTTGGAAAAGAGAAGGGAGTTTCTCTCTCCTGGTGTCCTGGCTAACAATCCCCCAGATAAAATCAGTCACTCAATTCATGGCTGTTTGTGGGGATGTTACTGTGCCCAAATTGGCTGCAGCCTTCACCTACAAAATACACAGTCATTACACTTTAAAGTAAATCATGTGAGGCATTGTAAGACATCCTTCTGATGTGAAAGGCGTTGTATCAAATATATGGATTGTCATTATTATATTGTATTTGCCAATGGACAGTGAAGGCTTCTTTTCCTTTAGAAGCCAGTAGCTTTTTTTGGAGAGTCAAAAGTTAATATAATTTTCCCCACCTAACGGCTGCTAAGTCTTAAACAACAGATGCATATCTCCCTCCCCCCTTCACGCCTGCCCTCCTGTAAATAGTGCCGTTGAGAAGTTGCTGTCTTTGAGCAACTGTGCGCTCACTGTCTGTCCTGTCATTACCTGGAGCGTGCACACCCATAATCAGCAAACATCTGCTTCCGATTGCAAATCACAAGCGTTGCCTGTGTCTGTTGCATCAATACACACAGGCCTGTCCTTTGCAGATTAATCGCAATCCTCCCCTCATCATTCCACCACTCCTCCCCCCCCCACCATCATCACCACCTTTTCACATGCCTGTTTGTACCCTAATTCCATGCTGCAGCTACAGGACACCTGAATTCATGCTTCTAACTTTAGTTAACTCGAGGAACAGCTGAGCATCGCTGCACGCTACAGGCAGCCTTCTGTTTCTCTGGTTTGGTTCTTTCCCCTTCGGGTGTTTCAGATGTTCTCAACCTGTTGTCCAGACTGTTCTCTTCTTTTTTTTAAAAAAAAATTCTCCAAAAAAAGTATTCTTGTTTAGCCACCGAGCTCCATAGTTGAACGTAACCACTCTCGTTTGGAACAGATTGGTATGATTTTACTATGGTAATAATAATAATCCTGGTATTTGATATAGCGCCTTATCACATCTTTGAGACGTCTCAAAGCGTTTCACAGGATATACTGTAAAGTGAATTTTGTGACTTGTTTATTTTGTGGGTGAAATGCAGCAGCCAACTGTGCACAGTAGTGTGGAGTAAGGAAACTTGCCTAAGGTTTTGCCCTATCCTGGAATCAAAGTCAGGACCTCTCACTTGCGAGCTGAGTTCTCTAACCACTGAGCTACAGGACTCCACTTTAGCCTCCCCACATAGCCTGGGCTGATGGCAGAAAACTCAGGCCCAGAGCGGGATTTGAACCCGAGCTCCATCCAAACCACCAAGGGTGCACTTTCCCCTTCCCCCATCTGCTCCACAACTTTCAGTCTGAATAAGTTCCTCTAAAGTGACTGTTCCTTTGCAAAAGATTTTCTTTTCAAACAAAATTGTGGCGATTCAGGCTTATTCACTTAACAAGAATCGGCTATCGAATTACTGCTTTACTCGGGCTTACATCAGAGTGTTTGGTTGGTACCACATGAAATGAATTCCAGCCTTTAGCCGTGTGTAATTAAGTTTGGCATGATTATGTGAGACAAATTGGAGAATAATGCTTCTTTTGGTTCTCTAACCACAGTGTTCAGACCTCTTTTACCTTAATAACTATGTACTAATCAGAGCGTGACTGCCTAGTTAGACTTGCTACAAGGAGGAGGAGGGTGTGTGTGTGTTTGGGTGGGGGGGGGTTGCCTTTCAGTGTGGTGCAAGAGTATCTGAGTTTCAGAAACTGAGGCCAGGCCTGACAAACAATCACCTTGTATAAAAGGACAGGATTCCAATGAAATTGGTTCAACAGCACTTGAAATAAGGCTTTAAAACACCGAGGCACTGATTTACCAATGGAAAAATGGCAGCATTTGTATTTTTTGCAGTTTCTATTGCGTGGCCCTGTGTTGGCACTTTAGCTCAGTTCAGGCTCTCATTCCAGCACAGCGTGGAGAGAGTGCATGTGTTTCTGGGGAGGTGGGGGGATGGCACTGCATTATCATTGGTGCCATCCATCATAGATGTTAAATACCAGGTCCTTGACTGTCCGTTCACTTCTTCATGTGGATGTTATTAATGATAATCATATCCTTGTATTTGATGTAGCACCTTATCAAGTCGTTGAGACGTTTCAAAGTGCTTCACAGGATATACTGTAAAGTGGAGTGACTATTTTCTGGGTGAAATGAGGCAGCCAGTTGCACACGCTAATATCTCACAAACAGCTGTAGAGTGAGTGACCAATTTTATCTGGAAGATTGTTGGTCAGAACACTGGGAGAGAGACATTCCCTCCTCTTTTTCGAATAGTGCCTGGGATCTTTATCGGCCCCCTGAACAGGCACAAAGGGATCTTCATTTAACATCTCATCTGAAGGACGGGTTTGATTTGACCCAGTGATATGATTGGGGGGAAAATAATTGAGTTCCTCTCTCTTGATATCCCCTGGCCAACAATCCCCAGATAAATTGGTTCATTCACCTCCTGACTGCGTGGTGGAATCTTGTTCCCAGTGATTTGGGACCTTCTCCTGACGTGAAAGATGCTGTGCAAATGAAATGTGGTGTTGTTGCCTGAAAATGGAAAGGTCACTATTATAATAAAAATATTCTTCCTGAGATTTGTTATATAAAAGCTCCTTTCACGATAGGAAGGCATCTCAATGCTGTGTATTTTATCGGCAAACGTAGCTGTCAATTTTGCATGCAGCAATATCCCATAAACAGCCATGAATATTGTAGGAGGGCTGTTGTTGGCCAGGAGAAACTCTGTTTCTTCGAATAGCTCCATAGGATTTTTAATGTCCACCAGAACAGGCAGACAGGACCTTGGTTTAACGTGTCTTCTGAAGGATGGCACCTCTGACAATGCAGTGCAAGCCTGTACTGGAGTATCGGCTTAAATTGTGCCAGGTAAAAAGTCCCGATGTGGGATTTGAACCCACAACCTTCCAACTTGGAGGACAGAGAGCCTTGGAGGCCAGACTGAGCCAGACTGATACTACACTTGATGGTGATCAATGTTTTGTCTCCTTCATTGCTGTGAGCGTCTGAGACGCTGAGCTTTTTCGCTGTGGCTCCTGGCCAGCTTGTGGGAGATGGTCCGTGAGCTTGTGCAGGATTGTGGCGGGAGATGAAGGGATTTACTGAGAGGGTTCCAGAGAGTAGGGGAAAAGTATTTTAAACTCCTGATAACTCAACCCTAGCTTAACTTCTGCTCCCTCCACTCAGCAGGCTATGGTCCGCTCCAAGTCTCCCCACCTGCCCGCCCCACATTCGCAGATGGACCTTCAGCCTCTCTGCCCCCACCCTTTGGAGCTCCGTCCCACAGTCCATTTGCCTCGCCCCTCCCTTGCCTCCTTTAAGGAGAGTCTCAAGATCTTCCTCTTTGACCGCGCATTCGGTCAGCCTCCAACCCCCACCTTGCCTGCCCTCCACCCCTCTTGATCCCAACCCCCAGCTTAGGTCCAAATCCTTGACTGTCCAACGCCTTCAGACATCCTCCCGACATGAAAGCCACTATACAAATGCAATTTATTGTTCAGCTCAAGTCATCATGCTGTCAATATTTCAGCCACATTTATTTATGTACTTATACATATGCCTAACTACCTACTTCTGATAACACGTCAATGAGAGGTGAGTTATCAGGAGTTTACTGTAACTGAAAGACTGAGTTGGTGGAGTGGAGAGAATGGGCGGGCAAGTAGGATTGCCAGAGACGCCAGACACAGGGTGGGAGGGATGCCTTGGAGACATTTGCAGGTGAGGACAAGGATCTTATAGCTGATCTGCTGGGGAAGAGGGAATAGGTGGGGCTCGGCTTGGCATGAATTGGGCAATGGGCTTGCAGAGCCTGGTGTGGGAGAGAATGTAAGCTTCGGAGATCTGGATGTAGTGTCGTGGGGGGGAGGAAGAGGGGGGAGCACTTTAAAGTAGCGATCGCTTTTGCATGACTCTCTGAAGGCTGAATCCCTAGCATTGGCTGTGAGCCAGCCAGCCAGCTCCCAGCGATGTGAATGTGGTTTCTGCATCCTATAATAACGCAGGCTTTGATCTGGCTGATGTGCGAGACATTGATGTGAACGCTTTCATTTACGGCTGGATTTTTTGGTGTTGATTCATAACGGCCTCTCCATTACCTTCCCCTGAAAAAGAGGGGTCATTAATCTGCTCGTTCAGGTGAGTGACGCCCACGTTAGGAGATGGAATGTTCCTTTGTCTCCTTCATTCGAATGGCGTTCAGTTTCCGAGTCAAACACAACACAAGTGTAAAGTGCAGAACAACCTCGAGATCGCCCCACACCAAACGTCTGTCTCCCCCACAACACAAACATGCATTACTCCAAAAGTTCTTGGTTCAAACCCACTTAGTCTATGATGATGCTCTCGCTTGTGAACTAGTACACTACGGGATTTCGAATGATGCACTGAGGTTAACATTGTTGCATGTTCAACCCAGGTAATCTGTATTAGTATTTAGTTTAAGTAGATGCAGGTTGAGAGCATGAGACAATGATGAGATTGAGTGGATAAAGCCAGGTCTCTTGTGCTCCTCCTATTCTCAGATGCCAGAAAAGAAACCGGACGTGGGGTCTAATTCCCTGAAAAGCCCGCGGAGGCCGTTTACCATGGGGGAAATTAAAACCAAAATGAAGACCTTGGTCGGAAAGGTAAACCAACTGTGTGATTCATGATTAGGAGGAGGCTATTCAGCCCATCAAACCTGCTTCTCAGATCTCTTGATCCCATCTCCTGGCCTTTTCTCAATGTTTCCTCAATGCCCTAACTTCCCAAGTATCTCTCTTATCTGTCCTCTTAAGCATCCTGGTTGATTCTACCCATTGTGTGCCAGAACCATGCTTCACCATTCTCAAAACATGCACATTACTGACCAGACTCTATACCACACACACACACAATAACGCAATACAACCCTACACCGACACACGTACCAATAATATGCTTACAGTCCCACACACACACACACGTAATAACGCACATATATACAGACACAGAGCACCTACAACACACACACAACCAGTAATCCACACTTGGTTCCAATAACACAGACACACACAAAGCACCAATAACACAGCTGTGCCTACCCCCATCCCTCCCCCATTCACACCTGTGGCCTGTGAAAAGCTTTGAGATGTTTCAATGGGATGAGGCACAATACCAACGTTTCACATACGGTAACATCTCTGAATAAACCTGCTCACTCACTTTGTTCTGTTTGCTGTGTCCAAATTGGCTGCCATGTTCAACCCCAAATACACAGCCTGTGTGTGATTACTTTATAGTAAACTCCTGCATAGCTCTTTCGGATGCTTCGCTGAGGTGATGAGGCGTTATGTCAAATTCAGGAATTATTGTTGTTGTATGTTTAAATGCTTTGCAGCGACTGTGCCAGACACCAAGCGGAGAGGGGAACGCATCGTGAGGGTTTTTTGGGAGTTTTTAAATAATAATCCTTATATTGACATATTTTAAACAATAATATCCTTATATTTGACATTGTTGAGACATCTCAAAAAGCTTCATAGCATATACTGTAAAGTGAATTGACTGTATTTTGTGGATGAAACACGGCAGACAGTTGCGCGCAGCCTTGTCCCCCAAACAGTCTTGGAATGAGTGACCAATTATTTTTTAAAAGACAAGAGAGAAATAATAATAATAATTGCATTTGATATTGCGCTTTTCATGTCTTTGAGATGTCTCAAAGCGCTTCACAGAATACATTGTAAAGTGAATTGACTGTATATTTTGTAGGCAAAACACGGCAGCCAATTGCACACAGCAGTGCCCCAAAAACAATCGTGGATTGAAGTGACCAATTTATTATTATTGTTTTTAAAGGAATTATTACCCCCCGGTAAAGCGATCCACCAATCGACTAACAGCCGGGTTCTTACTTACTGCTAGGTAAACAGAGGCGTGTGGAGTAAGGAAACTTGCCCAACATTTCGCCCTGTCGGGAATCAAACCCAAGTCTCTCGCTTGCAAGGTAAGCGCTCTAAACACTAAGCTACATTTGTCTCAACCGTATGTTTGTGTTTCTCCCCCAGGGCCACTCCCTACCAAGAAACGAAAAGAAGTTTGAAAACCTTGTGAAACATACTTTCCGATTAGGAGATAAAACCGTGAGTATCTAAGTTGGTCCTCCCACTCAAAACATTGTTAAGCGAGTGTGGGGAGACGTTACCTGTCTGACAGCACTGCCTGTGGGCTCCCCTGTCCCCAGCAAACTGTTCTGCACAGTCTGTGTTATTGGTGTGTGAGATCAATGCTGTGTGGGTTGTGTGTGTGTTGGTGTTGTGTGTATATGTGTGTATGATCAGTGCTGCGTCTGTGTGTATTTGTGTGTATGTCTATGTCCTCTCTGTTGCCTTCGACACTGTCAACCATTCCATCTTCCTCCACTGCCTTTCCTCTCTCAACCTTCACAGACCCGCCCTTGCCTGCTTCAAATTCTACCTCTCCCACTGTCTCCACCTCATCTCCACTGACGGCTTCTCCTCTAGCCCCCGCACCATCTCACGCAGCGTTCCTCAGGGCTCTGTCCTTGGACACTTCCTTTTCAATATCTACATGCTCCCCCTTGGTGACATCATCCGTAGACATGGGGTCAACTTCCACATGTATGCGGATGACAACCAACTCTATCTCTTAGCTCCACCCTCAACTCCAGGACAACTGCTGTGCTCACTGACCTGACTGCCTGTCGGACATCAAGTCCTGGATGAGCAATAATTTTCTCAAGTTGAAGGTGAACAAGACCGAGGCGCTCCTGCTTGGCTCCCATCAGCGCCTCCATACCTCGGTCGCTGACAGCATCACCCTTCATGGATGCACTCTACACCTCAAAGAGCCAACAAGGAACCTCGGCATCCTGTTCGACCCTCAACTGTCCTTTGTACCCCACATCCGTCCCATGACCCGCTCCACCTTTCCCCACCTCTGCAACATTGCACGACTCCACCACTGTCTCTCACCGTAGGCCGCCGAGATTCTCACACACACATTCACCACATCCAGGCACGAGTACACAAACTCCCTGCTTGTCGGCCTCCCCGACTTCTCCCTCTACAGGCTGCACATCATCCAGTACTCTGCAGCCCATGTCCTCTCCCGCACCAGGCTCCGCAAGCCTATCATCCCAATCCTTGCCCGACTCCATTGGCTTCCCATCACACAGAGGATACAGTTCAAGATCCCTCACCTTCAAAGCCCTCCATGGCCTCCTGTGACCTCCTAACCCCCTACCAACTTGTCCGCACCCTCCACTCAGCAAGCTCTGGCCTGCTTCCAATCTCCCACCTTGTCTGCCCCACCATTAGCGGGTGGGCCTTCAGCCTCTGGAACACCGTCCCACAGTCGCTCCACTTAGCCCTCTCCCTTGCCTCCTTCAAGACCCTCCTCTTCAACCATGCCTTCGATCACCCTCCTACCCCTACCCTCACCGCCCTCCACCCGTCCTGATCCCAACCATCAGCTCGGGTGCGGATCCCTGACTGTCCAGCGCCTTGGCACGTCCTCCAGACGTGAAAGGCGCTATATAAATATAATTTTTTGTTGTTACGGGTTCTGTAATCACACTCTGTATTCTCAGGTCATTAAGGAGTTGTGGGTCTGGGTACAGACACTGAAGCAAACCAAGTGAGCGACTCAGCGAGCAAGGCATACTTCCCCATGTTTCTGCACGGTTTACCATGTTGAAGAAATCCAGGGTGTTTCCCAAAAAACGTTTTTTGTTCTGGTCACTTCGTCTGCTTAAGGCTGTGATTTCTTAAAAAAATAAAAAAAATTAAAAATTCTTAAAAAATTTCTTTACATTTTTTTAAAAAAATGGCTACTAGAGCTCGATGCGTGGTGACAGGATCTGGGAGACTGATACAAGGAGATCCAACAACTTAGATTTATATAGCACCCCTCACGCAGGATAGCGTCCCAGAGCGCTTAACCATGGCTGAGACTGGCACGAAGCCGAGGAGAGAGAGGATCGTAAGCACAGTTGAAGAGGAAGATCTTAGGCATGACTTGAAGATAGGTAATGATAAGGATAGAGGAAGAGTGTTCCAGAGTTTGGGGGTGTAGTGGCTGAAAGTCCAGCCACCAATCTTGGAACGGAGGGCACGAGAGACATGAAGGAGGCTGGAGCCAGTGGAGTGGAGGCGGTGGGTCGAGGGTTGGGAAGTAATCAGGTTGCTGAGATAGGGAGGTGCCAGGGCATGAAGGGATTTGAAGACTAGACATGCAATACAACAACAACAAATTGCATTTACACAACACCGTTCATGTAGGGAGGACGTCTAAGGCGCTGGACAATGAGGGCTTTCCACCGAGCTGGAGGTTTGGGATCAGAGAGGGGTGGAGGGCTAGTGGGTTGGAGGCATGGTCGAAAAGGAAGGTCTTGAAACAAGCCTTGAAGGAGGTAAGGGAGGGGGGTGAGGCGGAGGGCTCCGGGATGGATTTCCAGATAGCGTCAAAAAGGCAGATAGCCGACGGAGGAGCGGGCATGGTGGGGGATGTGGAGCGGGCCAGTGCCCGCCGAGTGGACAGGTTGATGACATCAGCTGAAAGCTAAACCATTTACACGTGAAATAAGGTTTTTTTCATGTAGTGGGAGTGTGGAATTCACAAGCACATGTGAAATTGACATGCAGGCACTTATACACAGGAAATGTACATGCACACACATGTAAACTGGAAACTAAAATATACATCTCACAGAAGATAAACATATACAAGAAATTGATGCACACACACAGTACTGTTGTTGCTGATTGGCAGCCAATTCATATGCATGACAGAGAAATAAAAAAGTGATAAAATAATAAGAGTTAAAGTGTGGGGACAGGGAAGGGTGGCAATAACAACAACAAATTACATGTATATAGCGCCTTTCACATTGGGAGGACAACCCAAGGCGCTGGACAGTCAGGGATTTGGATGCGAGCTGGGGGGAGCGGATGGAGAAAACTCACAAATCAAAATACTAATTGTTTTTTCTTTAGTTTGATTCTGCATTCAAAACGCTCAAGAAACTCAGCTCCTCTCCGAGTTTATCTCCCATTTCCTGTCATCAACAGAAACATGTAGTCCTGTAGAATATTGGTTAGAGCACTCACAATCGAGAGGACCCCGGTTTGATTCCTGGGCAGAGCAAAACCTTAGACAAGCTTCCTTACTCCACACTCCTCTGATTACTTAGCCGTAAGTAGGAACCCAGTTGTTATTTGATTGGTTGATGGCTTTCTGGGGGTAATAATCCCTCCAAAAAATAATAATAATTTGGACGCTCAATCCATGACTGTTTGTGGGACACTGCTGTGTGCAATAGGCTGTCACGTTTTGCCCGCAAAATACAATGTCAATTAATTTTACAGTATATGCAACCTGATAAGGCACTATATCAAATGCAAGGATGATTATTTTTATTATTATACATTATATGATAAACCATTCCCAACCATGTCTCTCCTTTCACCCAACCTTCCCCTGACCATCCGAGACCTGAGAAAGCCTCTACGGAGAGGCAAGAGTTCATTTTGGAAGATCTAACTCCAGCGGTATGGGTGCACAGCTTAAATAACTTGTATTCAATAGAAAGCTTTAAAAACAGCACACCTTGATGTGTGATGGGTTGGGGGTTGTAAGAGTGTGCCACACCTTTAACAAGGGGACAGCCTGTGTATCCAATTGCCAGAACAACAGCAGCTGAGATTTCCTGATTATTGAACCTTCCGCACAACGAGGTCACTGACCCCAATAACTAATTGCTTCCCAATGAAATGCTGGGATCCAATTACCTCACTGTCCCTCCTGCACTAAGCTCCGTGAGCCGATCTCCCACCCGCACCCCCAACCGGCTTCACTGACTCCCCATCCCCCAGAGGATTGAGTTTACGATCCACACCCTCACTTTTAAACCCGTCCATGGTCATGATCCTCCCTACCTCCGCAATCTCTGAACGCAATATCAATCTGTCCACTCCCTTCGCTCGGCAGGCACTGGCCTGTTCCACGTTCCCCACCCTGCCTGCTCCACTATTAGTGGTCAGGCCTTCAAACTTTCTGAGCCCACGATCTGGAACCAACTCCACCTTGCACCCTCCCCCCACTGTCAAAGGTGACGTCTTTTGGATGAGATGTCAAACTGGAACATGCAGTCGATAAAGATACTACAGAGCTATTGAAAAAGAGAACAAAGTTTCTCTCAGTGCCTTGGCCGACTGATCCTCAAACCAAAATCTAAGTCAGTCATTCGTGGGATGTTGCTGTGCATAGATTGGTTCTTGTGTTCATCTACAAATTACAGTCACTCCACTTTACAGTAAATCCTGTGTAGCGCTTTAAGTCTTCCTCCCATTGGGAAAGGCATGAGTAATGATACAGAATGATTAACGCCTGCCCAAACAGGCACAACCGGGACCTCGGTTTAATCGAGCTTAGTGGTTAGCGCACTCGCCTCGCAAGCAAGAGGACCCAGGTTTGATTCCCAAGTGGGGCTAAACCTTAGGCAAGTTTCCGGACTCCAAACGCCTCTGTTTACCTAACAGTAAGTAGGAACTCGATTGTTAGTTGATTTCTTTTTGAGGGATTATTACCCCTTTCCAGGGCTAATAATTCCTCCACCAAAAAAAATGTGGTCACTCAATCCACTACTGTTTGCGGGACACTGCTGTGCACAATTAGCTGCCGCGTTTCACCCACAATATACAGTCAATTCACTTTATATTCTGCAAACTGCTTTGAGATGTCTCAAAACCATTATATGGTGCTACATCAAATTATTATTATTATAACATCTCATCCGAAGTACGGCACTTCCAACAATGCAGGGCTCCCCCAGCACTATACTGGTGTCTCAATCTGGACTGTGTGAGCTCCAAATTCCTACGTAGAGCTCGAACCCACAATCTTCTAACTCAGAGAGTGCTACCAACTGAGTCAGGCTGACACAGCCAGAAAGCCATGTTTTTGGGTCCCTGAGCAGTAACCTGTGTTATTGATGTGGATTAGACATGTCGTAGTGGATTAGACGTGTTTTCTGGTCAAATCTAATCTGTTAAATCAATCCATTTAATCTCCATATTGAACGTCCCCTCCCATGCCTCCCAGGGTCAGAACATCTTGAAAGTTGTACCAGTTAAGCTCTTTAACTTCCAGAACCTAGCTGCTTATTATTGTGAATTATTGTTGTAAATATTTCGAAGGCGTCATTGTGTAGAGGTATTTGTGTTGTGGTGCATACTGTAGTGGGGCTGGGCCCACTGTAAATGTATAGCGGAGCGTCTGATAACTGTGGGAAAACAGTCAGGCTGCTTAATGAGAATTCACAGCACTTGCTACAGTAATGATTCACTAATACCCAACAGGTAACCTGAGCATCTCCAGTGTGTGAGCACCAGTCAGGGAACGTTAACTCCAGCCACTGTGGAATGCAGGTCGTTATTCAAGCACTCTGAGACGCTACCTGTGTGAAGGGCGCTATATAAATGCAAGTTTACGTTGTGGTTATTCTCTTTGATATTATCAGGCTATCTGGTATACAGTTACAATGGGCTCAGCCCAACTACAGCATGCAAAACAACAAAAACAACTTCAGAAAAAGTCTTCAAAATATTTAAAACAATCATTTACACTAATCCTGTAGCTTCTGGTTAGCGCACTCGCCTCACAAGCAAGAGGACCTGGGTTTGATTCCCAGGCAAGGCAAATGTTAGGCAAATTTCCTTACTCCACACGCCAGTGTTTACCTAGCAGTAAGTAGCAGTAAGTAGGAACCTGGTTGTTAACTGCCTTTCCGGGGGTAATGATTCCTTCAAAAAAAAGCTTAATATTTGCATTTGACTTAGTATCATTATTTTTAAGAGGAAACCTGATGCGTACATGAGGGGGAAGAGAATAGAGGGGTGTAGAAGAGGAGAATAGAGGGGTGGAGGAGAGGAAAATAGAGGGGTGCAGGAGAGAGGAATAGGAGGGGGAGGGGATTGGAGTATAATCACAGGTCTGGCTTCGACTGGTTGAGCTGAATGGCCTCTGTGTGTGCTGTATTGCATTATCTATCTCCAGGTAACCTTGGCCTCAAAAGGGGGACCTTACAGAAATAGATTTAGAATGGTAAACCGTGTTGAACAGGTAAACACACAATACTGTCAGACACACCTAAGGAGCACAAGAGGGCACAGATTCAGGGCTGTGAAGGGCAATTTCAAGACAGACACCAGGAAGTGTGGGGAATCAACTGGGAATAGGGGCGGATGGGTGTGGCCAGGATGCTGGGAAGTGGCACCTGTCAATCACCTGCAACCTGCTCCCAGGCACTGTGGAGTAGGATGCAAGCAAATTGGAGAGATAGGGAGGGATTTGTACACGAGTGAGAGGATCTTGAAACCTAAAATAAAAGTTTCCAGCCAGCTAGGAGCTGATGAGCCTTTCCCTTTAAGGTAATGGTTTGCGCTTGCATAATTGGCTGCTGCTATGTCAAATGCAAGGATTATTATTATTATTATCATGTGTAACATAGCTGTCTGGAGCTGCGCTGGGTGCCAGTCAGTGTAAACTGTGCCATTTACCAGCACTGAACAGTAGGGGACAGCGGCACCACAGACAATCACTGTGCTGCCAACTGGGATCAACTTGGATCTGCACTGATGGCTAATGCACAACAATGAAATCTTAATAATTATTATAATAAAAATAATCTTGGCATTTTCATAAAACCTCTAACATCAAAACATCTCAAACGCCTTGCAAAAGCTGTCAGGAAGGATGTGATTGATTTTATCTGAGGATTGTTGGCCAGGACACCGGGAGGGA